ATTTCTGCAGGGTAAACATGATGCAATTTGATTGCCTGCTTTGTGCATACACTTACCCTTTTATACAATGGGAATATTTTGCTATGTTCAGCAATATCTTTGTAGCAGCTGTAACATATAGAAAATAGTTACAGCCTGTGCGTTTGAGCAGCCGTGGAAAACATGTTAGCAGGTTCTCAAGGAGGTGTGGATTCCATAGGTCTTAGCGAGATGTGGGAACTGTGGGGTGGCCAAAAGTGTCATTCCCCATGTTGGTATTCTGCGTATACAGTGTTGGATGTGCACAGTGTTCAATTTAGTATAGTAGTGCATTTGTGTTTCTTAGCTTAAACAGCAGAGTGGCATGTTGGAGGAACCTTAAATTTGCTAGCTTGGTAGAGCTTTCTTCCTATCAATAGCTTACAAACCTTCGAAAGTACTGTAACAGTCTAGATAAATATGGGGGGGAACCCAAACTTGATGATGAAACTTTGAGATATAGGCATAGATTTCAACTCGTTTCCTTTCTTTGCCCAGTATCCCTTCTTTCAAAAAGGAGAGTTTTGTTATTGCTTGCATGGAAGATAGACGTGCAGAAGAGTAAATTAATTCTTAATTACTTAACTTTAAAATAAGTAGCTAGTCTTAAATAATTAAATGCCTCCCTTTCCTTTTTCCCCGTTTTCTAATCTCTTCAGCTGCAATTGCAGAAGATAATTACATATATAGCTCTCCAGGGCAAATAGTATCTTTTTTTTTTTTTTTCTTTTTGGAAAACCCCTCCAAAATGTTGGCTGGATATGCAGTTTTGATGCTGGTATTAGTGTGTTTAATTATCAGTGCTTTTGGTTATACTTAGTAAGAACTTTCTAGCAGCAGTTAAATATATTCTCTTCTCTGAAGCTGTCAGACTGTTATTGTTTTCCACAGCTTTTTGTAGGGAGAAGAATCAAGTTCCTTAGAGTGACATGTAAGCTTGAGAGAGGATGTGGGATTTTTTTGTTTTTTTTAAGTCATGATTTATAATGCTATCATTAAGCCCTAAGAAGAAAGGAAGCACACATTTTGAAAGCTGCAGTTACTCTTTTTTTCTTTTTGGTAACATACATTGCACTGAATCCCAGACTTTGCTATGTAAGGCAGGCTGAGCATCCTGGTGAACAAGATGAACAGGAGTCATCAGCGTGTGCCCTTGTAGCAAACCATTGTCTGGGCTGCCTTAGCAGGAGGGTGGCTGGCTGGAGGAGGGAAAGGATTCCTCCTCCCCTCTGTCCAACGTTGGGGAAGCACACTCCCTAGTAGAGTAATGACACTGAGATGCTCCAGGAAATGCAGTGTGGAGCTACCAGGACAACTGGGCTGGAGTGCACAAAGTGCAGGAGAGGCTGAGAGAGCTGTGTTTGTTTTCCTGGGCAAGAGAAGGACAGCGGGTTTTTTTTTTATTCCTGTCTGTGGCTACCTGGTGGGGGTAGAGAGCAGTCAGGAGCAAACTTCTCTCAGGCGTGAACAGTAACAGTGAAAGGATGGGAGGTATCAGATGCATTTTGCAACACGGGAAATTACAATTAGATAGTCAGAGCAGGGGCCCAGAGAGGCTGTAGGATCTTCAGCCTCAGTACATCATCTAAGTTGGTTATGCTTTCAGGGCAGAAGTTGGATTGACTGATGTCTGAATATCTCAGGCACTTAAATTATTCTGTGATTCTGTCTTGCAAAATAAAAAAAAAAACAAACAACTTTTGAAGACCTGTTGTGAATTTATATTTTGTTTAAATTAAACCTTTTGAAATATTTAAGAAGCTTCAGTTTCTTGTAACAGCAGGGCTATCCTCAGTCTCTCTTCCTTATCTAATAACTCGTCAAAATGTGACAGCTGATTAGGGGAGACCCACAGTGGTCCAAGGAGAGGGGTACACATCGGGGATTGGAAACGTTTTTTTTTAAGGTTAAGGAGAAGGGAGATATTTCAGAGTCAGCCATTTATGAATCCCACTCCAGCAGTGATAGCCCCCACAGCAGTGTGGTTTCTTTCTGAAGCCAAAGTGCTGAACCCCTCCTGCTTAAGCTGCTCCCCTAATGACAAAGGCTTGCACATCGTGTATCTGCATAGCTTGCTATTGCTTTCTTTGTTCATTTGGCCCTTTCTTGGAAGAAAAGGGGCTTGAGGGTAGGGTGTGTTTCCTTGGGGTTGTGTCTTATCTGAAAATGATAAACATCCCCTGATTAGAAAATCAATGCGTTCAGCTTCAACAAAATAAAAACACTTAAAAGAAGCAAAAAGCCCCCTCCAGGTTATGACACAGTTGAAGGCAACAGCAAGAGGAGGTAGACGGGAATTTTCTAGGTTGTTTCTCAGCAGTATCTTGCAGAAGAGTTTGAATTCAGTTAACATTGTGAATGGCAGAATGGCGAACTCCAGACGTGGAGTTAAGAGGATTGGAGCCAAGGGGCTCCAATTATTTTTTCAAATAAAGCCACGGGGGAAAAAAAGACAAAAGAAATCATTTTTACCATGTTGGGTACACTACATATTACAAACCTGGTTGAAAGGTCTTGGGGTAATTGGTAACAAGTTATTAGAGTTAAGAGCCTGAATTAGGCTTCTAGGAAAAAGAGGTGCTCCGCTCCCTTCTTGACAGAGTTCTAATATTTCTACAGTGCTCTGAATTTATAAAATGTTGTGAAATAAGAAGTATTAGCTATCAACGTTAGCAACTCTGATACTGGTAGGTAGTTTGCCTCTTTGAAGAACTCCATTGCAATCTGGGGTGCTTGTCTGCCCTCCTAGGCTTTGCTGTTGGCCGCCTGGGTGATGCTGGGCAAGCCACGACACCTCTGTTCTGTAACCTGATGAGATTGATACTGGTCTCTTTGGAGATGCCCATACTAAAAAGTGTTGTATGAGGATTTCATGTTGATCTTGTTACCTCCACACCACAGCACATATACAGTAATCATGTCTTGCTGCCTTCTGTACTACCTCATTTACATATGAAATTTGCACTAAATAGCTGCTTTTGCAAGCTTAGTTAAAGTTGCAAGTTAAAAAACATGTCTGCTAGTGAGTGTTTGTAAAAGTGTGAAATGTATGCTTTGCTGGGAGTCAGAGGTTTTGTTACAATTACTGTTTCCAGTGATGGGTATCTGCTGCTTTGATATTGTTCTTTTATTATTTTGTCCAGCCCGTGTGGGTTTTCTTGTTTGTTAATTGCTGTGAAATTGTGATCTTGTCTCCAAGAGATGACAGGGGTTTTATTGGCCCTTTCAGGACTTCAAACAATTTAACAAAATGCTGAGTGTGGGGTTTGTTTTTGTTGTATGTTTTTGTTTGTTTGGGTTGATTTTTGAGGGTGGTTTTTTTTGGAGTTCATTATAGACCTTGTCCATTATCAAGGTGACAGCTCAAATCCCCAGTCACTTACGAGTATTTGAGTCTGTGATCATCTGATACAGCAATGATATTATCTGCTTACTTTATAATCAGAGCCGCTTGTTCTTTTGCGGTTTTTATCTTTCCTTTTTGGCCAAAGACAAGGAACGGGGAAAAACCCAAACATTTTCTGATCATTTTTATATTTTTAAAATAGGTACTTAAAATTATATGCTTGTAGAAGCTTTATATAAATGGCCTTTTAAAATTATAATTTATTGTTTGCCATGAATGGGGTATAAACTCTTCTCCTGGTATCTGCTGAGTACTTTGACACAGGTTGTGCTTTAACACAGAAAATTAGGAGGAATGTAATGCTGTTGTAATGCTGGTAGGAATCTTAGCTATATATAGTTTGCTGAGAAAAGTTGAAGGGATCTTGTATAAGTGTTTTTGCCTGCTGAATGCTTGGTTAATTACTGGTTGAAAGGAGTTGCAGTAGTTTGTTTTTACAATTGTGCCAAGGAACACCCAGAGCAAAGGACAGGTATTGCTGCTTTCTGAGTGAGTCTACAAACCGCGGTCGGGACCAGAGCCCAGAAGAAATTGCGTAACGTTTCTGTAGGGTTTTTTTTGTTGCTGTTGTTTGATGGGGTTTTTTGGTTGGTTGGTGTTTTTTTTGTTTTGGTTTGGTTTGGTTTTTTTAAAGTTTCTTAGCCTGCAGTTTCAAGTATGGGCACCTGCAAGTTTAGTAACTCAGGTTACTAAGGTTTTCATTTGCTAGACCTGTGTGGCAAGATGGGATTCATGTTTACACCTGGGTTCTACATTTGTTTTGAGTATTTTGAAAACTGTGAGCCATTTTCTTTTGTTTCTCTACGGGGGGGAGAAAACCAAAACAAACCCAACCAAAACCCAAACCCGCACCCCCCCCCAGCCCC